GTGGTGGACAGCCACGGGGTGGGTGGCTAGTAAGAAATCCGGACCCGTCTGCGGTCCCTCCTGTCACTCTGGACTCCCAGGTGCAGTGCTGGGGGAGAGCCATGTGTGTGAATCTGTACAGAGAGCTTCCTTTAGGGGAAAAGGCATCGCAGGTATCACTGACTAAATATGTTCATATAAATTATATATATTTATATTTATCTGTATTTCAATTTCTGTTTTGTGCAGACATTCCAGAAATGCCTTACTGACATTACCTAGAAGGTAAAAAAGCTGAGTCATGTTTTTCTGGATTCTGAATTCCTTTAATTGTCTGGGTTATTTAGCATTATTACTACCTTACTTTATTTCCGATCCCACACTAGCACATCTGCTGTTTTTTACCGAGAGCCTATCTGTTAATCCAGACCTCAGAGTTTCTACCATCAAGTGAGGCTTTTACATTACTTGGTGGTCAGGGAACTTATTTCATACAGAATTAATGAGTTAAAGTGGCACTTAGGAAAGTGAGCCACTAGGAAGTGGGTGTTTGTGAGCTCAGCTAATAACTTCATCTTCAGACAAATAAAGAATTTTTTAAAATAACTAAGCCTCAAGTGTGAATCAGTTCAGGGGGGTTCCAGCCCGAGGTTGATTCTGACCTTGGATGGAGCTGGTGAGCCCGGCAGTGGAGCAGCTCAGTAGAGTAGGCACGAGTCCCACAGTGTGGAAAGTCTTTCCTGCCACTTGGTCACCTCTAAACAGCAGCACCGATGAGAACATCAGGCCGGAAAGGTGGAGACAGAAGTCAACTTTCTTGTCTTTATTTTTGCTTGGTTTTTATTTTTTATTTCTAATTGACCAATAGCAATTATACCTATTTATGGGACACAGTGTAGGGTGTGACATTCTGACACATTGTATCATGCTGTGTGACCCAGGGTATTCTGACACATTGTACTGTATCATGGTCAGTGGCTCACCCATCACCCCAGGCAGCATTTCTTTGTAGCAAAATATTTGTACTCTCTTCTAGCAACTTTGAAATACTGTACTCAGTAAAGCATTGTTACCTGTGTCACCTGACTGCGTGGTCCAGGCACTCCCTATGACATCCCACTGTCCCTGGGCACATGTGGGCTCCCCTCTGCCTGGATCCTTGCTTCTTATTATCCTAGTCGCATTTACTGCCACTCGGCTTCTGGGGTCAACTCTGCAATTCCTCCAGTTTGTGAGATCACATGGAATCTGGTTCTTACATCTAATCTGCAAACTGAAAAACTGAGTCTGGCCTGAAATAGGGTCGTGAGGACCTAGTCAGTGACTTTGGTCATCAAATGGGTCTCACTCAGGCTGTGTTGGGCTGAAAATGAATGTACTGATAAGTGTCGCATAGAATCGTGGATTTAAAACTGTGACCTAGTTCTTCACTCTCCCTCCTCCTCCTCTCCCCTCCTCTCCTCTCTCCTCCTCGTCCCTTTTCTTCTCCTCCTCCTCCTCCTCCTCTTCTTCCCCATCCTCCTCCTTTTCTTCCTCGTCATCCTCCTCTTCTTCTTAGTAACTGCCTCTTCATTAACTGAGTTTTCAAGGGGAAGAGTGATGTGAATTTGTCTCTTGGACAGTGACACTTCATCTTTTGTGACACAAACCACCTTCTAGCCTGGCCTGTGTGCACCCTGGCCGCGTGGGGGACGTGGGGACTTTGTTGGTGTGCAGAGAACCCCACAGCTGAGCACGATTGTCACCGCGACTTTGCAGGGTGCTATGCTGAGTGTGCCGGGTGCCCTTGGTGATGGAAGGGAAGGACGCTGCTGGCCAGAGGTCTGCTGCCGTCTTCCGGGAAAGACTGGAAATAGCTCCTGCAACAATTGCAACAAAAAGAGGACTTTTAAGAGAAAATGCTAGTGGACATCTGGGAGGAATTTAGCTCCTTGTTTACTGTAGTCAAAGCAAGAAAAAGGAAATGTCCATCTGGATCTAATGACAGTCACTCTGTACTTTGGTTTGTACAAATAAACTTTTCATTCAAGGGAGAATTAATTATAAAAGGACACCGAGAAGTTTGAATACCGCAGAGTGCGGTTTTGCTAATGTTTCTAAGTGTTCAGGTTGAGGTTCTTCCTTTGCACAGCATGATTCCTCTGACCCTGAAAGCCTGGCGTTCAGTGGGGGTGCCGCCCACCGTCATCTGCGTACCCGCGGGGTTGGAGGTGTTAGACACACAGGTGGTGCTGCACCTGCACTGAGGATATGCAGGTGTGGCCTGGGGTCACGGTGCCAGAGAGCTGTGTGGGCAGAGAGAGAGAGTTGTTTAATTTTCCTGCAGTTTTCTTGTCTGTGAAGTGAGGGTGGTAATAGGGCTGTGCTTGTGGAACCCCAGGGTGGTCAGCGAGGGGTACCTGCGGAGCAGTGACAAGGCGTCCCACATACATGAAAGTGAGAGGTATCAACGCCTGGCGGGTGAGTGTTGTCCTAAACGCTCAGTTACAGAGCACAGTGCGAGCGGCTGGGGACGGAGGGGAAGTGACAGCCACTTGGCTCATGGCCTCTCTCGGGACAGGTGTGAAATCTCGAGCTAGTGAGGCGAGGCTTAATGCCCACCTGCTGCGACACGTGTGGATTTGTCGGCCCCAGGCACAGTACAGGGCGATGCATGTGTGGCCAGGTTCTCCATCCTCTACACGGGCCCTGGAGATCTGTGCCCGAGGTCGCACCTGGCCATCCATGTCGGGAGCAAGGGCTCTGCCGGCATAGCCGGCCAAAATGGGGGCAGTGAGGACACCAAGCCTCTTTGGTGCCAGCGGGTGTGCGGTTCAAACCACCCTACAAAATGTTGCTGTTCGCCCCCCAGCAGTCACAGATGAGCACCTGGAAGCAGCACAGCATTTGTCAACAGTAGAAAAACTGATACATTCACGTCAAATACCGTGAATGCTTGGTGTCGGTGACTCTGAACTGCCTGAGACCAAGAAGAGCAGCCAGCCAGGAGGACTCTGTTGTTTAAAACCACAGTGTCAGCTGAGCACATGCCTATAAATGCAGCTACTTGAGAGGCTGAGGCAGGAGGATTGCAAGTTCAAGCCCAGCCTGGGCAACTCAGTGAGACTCCATTGATTTAAAAGGACTGAGGTGTAACTCAGTGGTAGACCACACCTGGGCTCAATCTCCAGCACCACCAAAAAACTTTGTCAATGTTATAACACGTAGCTTTTGTCTTAGGTTTGAAGAAGTCCGAGGTTTCGGGATACTTGGAGGAGCAGGAGACTCTCCGTTGACAGGAAGTTGGAAGTGGTTGGTCCCTCGGCTCGCTCGCTGTGTGTGCTCTGCCTCCGCCCCGTGGTTCCCTGCTGTCCCCCTCTCAGTCCTCCTGCTTCCCAGGCTGAGGGGCAGGTCTGGGGGCGGGCTGTCCCTGCTGTGCCAGTCCCAGGGACTTTGCTGAGGAGCAGAGGGTGACTTAAGTGCCTGGGTTGCCCCTTGTGCAGCCCTTGAGGGTGATGGCCGAGGGAGACAGGTGTCCCTGTGGCAGGATCTGTCCAGAACAAGCAGAGTGGGCATGGTGACTCCGGGAGGCCAGGTGGGAGCCGTGGGTGTCGGTACCAGGAGAGCAGTCATGGCAGCCTGCGAGAGGGTGTGTGAATGCCGGCACCTGCTCGGAGGAGACAGCGGCACAAGACTGGACTGGCATGCGGTCAGCAAAGGCTCCCTGGGACTCGGGACAGAGCCTGTCACCCTGCTGGAGCCCAACGGGGACTAAACGTGACGTGAAAGTGGGCTTCTGCGGGCCGTGCCTACTGCAGCACAGTCCCGTGGGGAGGCCTGTGTGGCAGCCGCCATGCTGTGACCTTCTGCTTCCCACTGCCCTTCAGTATCGATCACGTTGCTGCACTCAGGCCAAACCGCCACTGTGGCCGGCTCTTCTGGGCTCCTCTTAGGACAAGAGTGAAAAATTGCCGCTGGGAGCGAAAGACCGACGTCTCTCACCGCGCATCAGCGTCTTTCGTCTTCAGACCTCGGGGACAGCAGGGGACACCACCAGTCCTGACTTGTGTGGACTTGGGCGTGGTGAGAGCTCCCCATGTGGATCTCAGGAGTTCTGCCATGATGGCGCTGCACCCCAGAGTGCTGTCTGAAATGCGTAGATGCACTTGGGGTGAATGTGTAGAGCTTGCTCACATTGCTGAATTCACGGCAGTGTTTCCAGGCAGCAGAAAGTCAAGGAGCAACTGCCCAGTCCCTGGGTTTCAGTCAGAATTTGAATGTCACTGTCAGGCACGATTATGCATGACAGGAAAAGGAAAGACCATGTGACTTTAATTTAGCAAATCCATCTTCGGTAGCCACTGAGGGACATCAGCGCCATCTCTGACATCGATACAGTGAACGTGACCTAGGCACCCAGGCCTTCCGTGTTGTTTGCCAGGTAACTGCGTAACCCAGAGCCAGCACGGTGGCGCCCAGTGACCTGCTTACCTGCTCAGCCGACCTTGTGGCAGCAGGGAGGCGGGCCGTCACCAGCCAGAGAAGCTATAGAATCCAGCATGACAGGAAAGGTGGCCACGGTGACAACATACTCGTGGGCTGGACGTGGCCCTGGAGTGTGGGGAAGTTGCCAGGGAGAGCTGGGACACAGCCTGCACCTGTCACCCACACCAGAGAGCACGGGGTCCAGAGGCCCCCACTCTGGTCCTGCCCTCGGTTAGCCGTGCGGCCAGGGAAGTTTACTCAGCCTCTTTGTACCTCAGTTTCCTAATCACAAGATGGAAATACTAATGGTGATAATGATTGTGTACCAGTAGTAACTTATGAAGTTGTGAGTGTAAGCCCTGTGCTCTCTCAGGACCCACTCAGCACACGAGCTGCCATTCTCGAAAAGGCAGCTTTGTTGGGTTTCACTTTGTTCTGTGGCAGTGCAGGTTTGGAAGTAAGTACACTAAAATTGATTACACTTTCGTGATACCAAGTAAGAGTATCATCAGTGTGAATCCCTCCTGAGCTGTCTGGCCTGCAGCAGAAAGGGTCACAGGCCACGGTAAAAGCATCGTGTGTTTTGTGTGGCCGTGGGCACCGGTGAACTGTTAACATGGCATGGAGACTGCAAGTGTAGCTCAGGTCAGCGCCTCTATGGTTCATGTCTCAGCACCGGAGGGAAAAGAGAATAAAGGTGACAGCAGGAAGCACAGGCTCCAGAGCGGACGGCCCCTCTGGCAGACATGGTGAGTAACTCAGCGTCCTGTGCGATGGGGCCGTGTGGGCACCACAGGCTCCTTGTCCCGTGTGTCTCTGTGTGATTTCCGTCTGTGCGGCACCACCGGTACCACTCCGTAGACCGCCTAGCCTTGGCTGCTTCGATCAGGAGTCCTCCAGTGGGAATCGCCTGACGTTTCACTGAATTATCCTGTTCAGGCTGCGCGTCTGTCGTTGCTCAGCACAGCACGAGGGAGAGGGCTTCATTTATCAAACATGGGTTTTTACATATTAAAGTTCTACATGTTCTGGGTTTTGTGGTTGTTTGAGAAGGTGGTGCTGTCAGGGGACTTTGCTCGTTTGCTTTTTTTGCTTCAGCCAGTGTTTTCACAAAGAGCCACAACAAACAGCAAGAACTCTATGGTGTGGGCTGAGGCTCTGCACTGCTGACGTGACCACAGAACCCTGGATCTGGAGGCTGGGGAGCCGGAAGATAAAGGACTGCAGCTGCAGTGGTGGCGGGGTTGGGGGCAGAGCTGGGGTGGGCACACACGGGATGGCTGGCATTGGTAGAAGGTACCAGCCAGCAGTGGCCACGGCCCAGGGTCCTGAGCCGCTGTCACACGTGGGGGCCAAAGTGGGCAGCCATGGGGCAGGTGCAGGTGTGCTGAGCCGTCCCAGGCCCGGTCATCGTGCAGGCAGGAAACTGCCCACTGCTGCTGGCCTGTGGTGGGACCCATGCCCTCCTCATCCTCCTGAGGCCTTCTGTGCTCCCAGGTTCTCCCTGCCCTCATCCTCCTAGGTCCCTGGCTATCTTGGCCTCCTCAGGGCCAGCGCCTGAGGTGCTTAGCCTCTTTGGGATCTCCTGGGGGACACAGGTGTGGGAGGCATGAACCTCCTTGCCACTTGAGGCCCGTCCTGTGATTGATGGAGTCAGACCTGGTCCCAGGTTTGAAGATAGTGCCATACCTGTCCAGGGAAGCTGTCCAGAAGCTTCAGAGCAAGCATGAATCCTGTCCCTGGTCCCGGTGGTACAGCAGCAGAGAGCATTTACAGCAGGTGCAGGGCTGGCCATATGCACAGGTCCGCCCAGCAGGCTCCATCACAGTGGCTCTCCATGGGCCAGGGTTGCAGGGGACATGTGGAGCTAGCACCCCACTGGGACAGGACCGTGCCCAGGCGGTGCTGGTCTGAGGGAAAGGAGGGGCCCCTGGGGGCTCCTCAGAGGATGGGCTCCAGACCCCCTCCCTGGCCTCAGCCACCAGGTGTCCTCAGGTTGCCTGGGGTGGAAGAAAGTTGACATCAGCACCACATTGGGTATGGGAGAATGGAGAGCAAGGAAAGGGAAGACAAAGTGCTTGACTGCGTAGCTGTGTATCGAGGGCCAGGTAGCCAAGGGCACAAGGACTCAGGGACGCTCACACCGTCCCCCAGCACAAGAGCGTGGCCGCCAAGGTTTCCTTCCGCTCGGCCCAGTGCAGGCCGGCGAGGCCCCTGAGCAGCAAAGACCAAAGAGCTTTTTTGGCAGTTTTTCAAAGCTTTCCTTAGAGAGTGCACTGTGTGCACATTTGATAGCTTGTCCGTAGCAGTTTGCAAATAAAACAACGGCATAAGACTGTCTGCTGAAAGCCAGGGCAGACAGAATCGAACAGAAGGGCTGTGTGAGTCGGGCATCTACAGGCTGCTAGGCCTCCCGGGCTGGTGTCTTCTCCGATCTTGATGATCGAGCACACACTTTGGCTTCTAGGTGCCCAGAAATACCAGTTTTTACTCACGGACAGCTGTGCGTCCCTTTGTTCACCAGACGAGCGGGCGTCCTTTGCCAACCTCAGAGTGATGCGGGAAGCGTGCGCACTGTGTTGCTGGGTGGGCCGTGCGCTTCGTGTGGGTCAGACTTTCAGGCTTTGCCCTGTAACCGGGCTGGGGGCCTCCAGATCTCACGGTGCCTGGCTCCCCTCAGTATTGCGGGCCCTGCCCCTGCCACCCACAGTGAATCTACCCAGTCCGTCTTATCTTTTTTTTTTTTGATACTGGGAATCAAACTCAGGGCCTCTCACTTGCCAGGCAGGTGCTGTACCACTGAGATACATCCCTGGCCCTAACTGTGTCCATCCTGGAGTCTGGAGGGAAACAGCATTCGGACAAGCAGGAGACAGTGAGGGAGAGACGCTGACCTGTCCCAGCCCCTGTGTACCTTCTGTTCCTGTGAAGGCATGCCACCTCCTGGGGCACCTTCCGGGGTCCACACAGAGGGGGCTGGCATTGGTCACTGCTGGCCCCACCTTCTGATTTGGACGCCTTACTTTTTCCTTTTTTTTTTAAAGGAACTTTTGCATTCCTTTTCACATTTCTTTTAAAGCCTTTCACTGCTGAATAACTGTTCCTGAATGAGCAGTGCTCTTACAAAGTATACTCAGAATTGGTTGAAGGCTAAGGAAAATTTTCATAAGAGCTGCCACCTGTTGAGTACTAAAAGCCCTTTGGTAAAAATATGCAAAGAAAATAGATGAAAAATGCAAGTCTGCTTTTGGAAGAGCAGTCAAATCCAGATGCAATAGGAGAGCAGGTCAGGGGACTTTTGTCCTGCTGGGAAGGCACCTGCCGTGGTCTCTTGGTCACATCTCCCTGTGCTGGGGTCTCCTGGTCATGTCTCCCTCTGCCGGGGTCTCCTGGTCAGCTCTCCCTCTGCCGTGGTCTCCTGGTCACGTCCCCCTCTGCCGGGGTCTCCTGGTCAGCTCTTCCTCTGCTGTGGCCTCCTGGTCACGTCTCTCTCTGCCATGGTCTTCTGGTCACGTCCCCCTCTGCTGGGGTCTCCTGGTCACGTCTCTCTCTGCCGTGATCTCCTGGTCAGCTCTCCCTCTGCCGTGGTCTCCTGGTCACGTCCCCCTCTGCCGGGGTCTCCTGGTCAGCTCTCCCTCTGCCGTGGTCTCCTGGCCACGTCTCCCTCTGTCAGGGTCTCCTGGTCAACTCTCCCTCTGCCGGGGTCTCCTGGTCAGCTCTTCCTCTGCTGTGGCCTCCTGGTCATGTCTGTCTCTGCCATGGTCTCCTGGCCACGTCTCCCTCTGTCAGGGTCTCCTGGTCAGCTCTCCCTCTGCCGTGGTCTCCTGGTCACGTCCCCCTCTGCCGGGGTCTCCTGGTCAGCTCTCCCTTTGCCGTGGCCTCCTGGCCACGTCTCCCTCTGTCAGGGTCTCCTGGTCAGCTCTTCCTCTGCTGTGGCCTCCTGGTCATGTCTCTCTCTGCCATGGTCTCCTGGTCATGCCCCCTGGTACCCACAAGTGAATCACTCAGAGGCATGCTTCCTGGACGACAGCTGGCCTGTGGCTGGGCCTCAGCACTGATGATGACTGTGTGGTTTTCTCTCGGTTGCTGAGAGGTGTGTGGGGTGTGTGTGACGTTTGGGGTGTGTGTGATACAGAGTGGGAGGTATAGGGGTGTGTGTGTTATACATGGAGTATGTGTATTATATGGGGCACATGTGTTGCATACGGGCCACGTGGGTTACATGTGAAATGTTCATCTGATATGAGTTGTGTACTATATGTGGATGCGTGTGATATGTGCAGTGTGTGTGATATGTGGGACGTGATACATGGAATGTATGTTATATGGGATGTGTGTAATATATGGAGTGTATGTTGTATGTGGGGTGTATGTGATATGTGGAGTGTGTTATATGTGGGATGTGTTACACATGGACGTGTGTGACATGAGTGTCTCCAGCGTCCCTTTCCCCATGGACTGGTTTCCAGGCCGGGGAGAGCATGGGGCTCTGGAGGAGGAGGCCTGAGCCTTCACGGTGTCTGCCTCACTTACACCGTGCCCAGTCTCCAGGAGGATACAGGTGACCAGGAGGGCCTGTTATTCAGCATCCCAGAGGTTGCCGGCCACAGTATTTATGCTCAAGACATCTCCGCATGTGCCAGTTAGTTTGGCCCCATTTCTGTCTCTTGTCCCCTGCTCCCCAGACTCTGGCCCTCGTCAGTTGGGCCCTGCCTGGGCTGCACTGCCCTGATGTGTGGCTGCATCCCTTGGCCCATGCGTCATGTCCAGCGGGATCCTGGGATGGACATCCACCCAGGCGGCTTCTCTCCAACTCCATGTAGGCTGGGACAAGCATCAGGAGATGGGCCCTTGGAACAGGCCACTCGCTCTCCCTGGACCTCGAGGCCACACCGACACCTGAGTGTTTGCTTTAGGGACAGAGTCCTCTGCAGGCCGGGTGGGGAGTCTGCCCCATCCCCCAAGTCACAGGCCTGTCGCCCTCTGCTCCCCGGGCCTCCCTGATGTGGTCTCAGCCTCCAGCTTGGGATGCTGGGCTACAACAGCTTCCCGGGTCAGGAGGGCCCCTCTCCCCGGGGCTGAGGTCCCCTTGCTCCTATGTGCCCTGAGTCTGTGGGGTGGGCGGAGCCTCACTGTCCATCCTCACTGCAGGCGTCCTGGCAGTCTCATACCTGGACCATGCTCTGTCCACCCTGACGGCCACACCAGGCCTCCTGCCCAGTCCCGAGTCCCGTCATCTCTAGACTGAGGTGGGCACACAGGAGCCCTCTCCCATAATCCACAGGTTTTCAATTACGTAAGGTGCTTTTAGTAAATCTTCCCTGATGGAAAACATCATATGTATGCTTCTACTGGAAAGACATTTTGGATTCGATTCCATGTATTTTGGAGGCTTATTAAATATTAATCATGAAAAACATTAAAGCCACTGCTGTTGGTGAAGGCCCGGAAACATTTCCCTCAGGGGGAATGTGTGGCGCAGCAGCGCTCGTGGGTTTGGTGTGCGCTGCCCTAGTGGGGTCTGTGCGCTGCCCTTCCTGCTTCCCTAGTGCTGGTACCACCTCCGGGAGCACAGAGGGAGCTGGCCTGTTCCCATGGACGGCAGTGGGTGGGAGGGTTCCGCGGGGAGTGCTTGTGTCCAGGTGCTGGCTCCTCCCGAGGTGCCCTGCAGGGGTCCCCGTGCGGAGGGTGATGGGGGGACATCTGCCTGGGGGGCGTCCCGTCCTCACTCTCTGACGGCCGATGGAGA